TTCTTGTTTGCCTCTGCACAGTCCATGATCTTTGCGGTTAATGTAGCCTCCGATGGGGTATTTTTGGATTTCCATTCTTGCGCAAACGAGATCCTGGCTGCAATGATGATGTGGAGAGCGAGATACCAATTAGATTTGTTTAAGTTCTCTGGTTTCATGCCTAGTAAAAACGTTTCCGGGTTCAATTTTATCCTACATCCTATGATTTCTAAAATCCATTTTTGAATTCTAGTCCAATATTCTCTTGCTCGGGGACAGGTCCACCAACTATGAAAATAAGTTCCCATAGCGGCGTTACATTTCCAACAAACTGGGGAGGTTCCCGGGAACATCTTCGATAATCTAGCCGGAGGGAAGTGCGATCTATACAGCATTTTATATGTATTTTCCTTATAGGAAACTGACATTGTTAATTTTAGGGTTTTCCCCCAAATTTCTTCCCATTTTCCAAGCTTAATCGAATGTCCCAAATTTCTCCCCCAGGCAATCATTGAATCCTTAATAACCTCCTCTCCAATCCAATCCATTAAGAGTCGCTATTTCCAAGATGGTTGGAAATTCAAATGGATCTGTGGAACTTCAATTCCCAGAATTCCCCAGCCAGCCATGACTGGCTAGGGAATTCTGGGAGTTGAAGTCCATACCTCATAAAGTACCTAAGGTTGAGACACACTAACTGAAATGACTGCCCATTTATAGAGAACAATCCAGTTGCTCAGCAAGCCCCCATAAAAACCTCAAACCACACACAGCCACAACAAAACACGCTACACCCTGATTGCAAAGGTATCTTAATTCAAAAACCTGCTATCAATAATGTTCCAAAGCTGATTTAGTCATTATCTCTACATTTCCCAAATCCCTTAATCTCTAGTATGGCACCACAGAGTGCCAATAGGCTCACGATCATCTTGTTGGCATCTGTGCCGCCCTCTTATTTTCCTCTCTGTTTAAAGCTTTTTTTTCTTGTTTTTTTGTAAGTGAAAAACTGGCACCGTGCAAAAACTCCATTTTCCAGCCTACGTTTTCCTTTTCCAAGAATACCAGAGACAAACAGCTTGCTTAGGAAACAGAGAAGGTTGTTGGCTAAAACACAGGATGGCGTAAAAACCGCTTTCTTTTGTACCCTGGCACAACATGGTAGTTACATTGTGCCAGGCAGTTCCGCTCGGCTCAGCCTGCTTCAAAGGGTTTTGGGGAACATACAGGCAGTCCTCGACTTATGACCGACCGTTTAATGACCCAATCAATGTTACGAGCGACCCCAGAAAGAGGGGACTTACGATGCACATCCGAAATTCTGAATTTCTGGGCTGCTCTGCGGTCAGATGGAATTTAGGGCTCCTGTTCTCGACCCAACTCCTACCAACCTAGCAATTTGAAAGCATGCAAATGCAAGTAGATAAATAGGTACCACTTCGCTGGGAAAGGTAACATTGCTCCATGACATCATGCTGGCCACATGATCGTGAAACGTCTTCGGAAAACGCTGGCTCAACGGTCTTGAAATGGAGATGAGCACCAATACCTATATGTCTATGTGTCAGGTTTCGATGTCGTCTCAAATAAATTGCATTTCCAAACAAACAGTCTTTGATGAAATCTTTCATTAAGCACGACAATCTGTCCCCGATTATGTCGTAGCCAACACTGACTTCCTGACCCCAAACCTTCCCTTTCCGTTCCCCAATTCTCTGCGTCTCATTGGCCATCTTCAAAATCACTCTCCCCATATCTACTACTTCAGCTCCCAGGAATGTCCCCCCTCCCATCTCATCTCCTAGGGGATATTATCTTCAGGGAAAATAAGTAGGTGAAAAGTCAAGTGTCCTCTTGCCAGCTGCCCCCTCTTCTCCTCCTTATGTCAGCACTGGAACGAATGTAGTTTGAAGTTCTGACACTATGGAGATTCTCAGACATCCAGCTCATCAGAGCTGAAGAAGCTTCTTGGATGAGAAGCGAAACGTCTTGGAGAAAAACCAGAAAGTCCAGTTGCCTCTTGAAAAAAGCACCTTTAAGGCAACCAACCCCTAGAGTTGGCCATGACTAGTAGAGTCAAATCTGCAAGGATTCCTTGATCTTTTTCACCTGTTTCATTAGATGTCCTTTCTCTAGGTAGTCATCAACTTACCACCACCATTGAGCCTAAAATTATGTTGCTAAGTGAGACATATGTTAAGTGAATTTTGCCCATTTTACAACATTTCTTGACCCAGTTGTTAAGTGAATCACTGAAGTTGTTAAGTTAGTGACATAGTAATTAAGTGCATCTGGCTTCCCCATTGATTGGAAGGGACCTTGTAGGTCATATAGTCCACCCCCCACCCAAGCAGGAAACTCTGTACCTGTTGTGGTCCACCAGTACCCTGTAGAGCTGGCAGCGGAGTCAGACAGTGAGGAGGCTAGGGAGGAACATGGGCCAGTCCTGGAGTCTGGGGAAGGCCTGGACGAGGGCTCTGCGTCGGAGGCAGAGATGGAGTCTGGGCCATCTGGGAGTGATGCACGGACTCCGGAGCCCCCAGAGTCGGACAGCAGAGAGGCAGAGGAACAGGAGGAGCCTGTTCCTAGTGCACGCATGCACAGAACTGCCAGAAGGCAAGAGCAGCTAAAGCAAAAGGGACAACTCAGGAGTAAGGCCAGGAGATGATTGGCCCCTCCCATAAGGCTTAAAAGAGAAACAAAGGACTTTTGACAGGAAAGCAATGTTGCTAACTGTTTCCAGTCGGCATCTCGTTTGTTTCTGAATTTCGTGGGGCTTTGCCAAGTAAGGCCATCGGCAGGGTGTCAAAGAAGATAAAGGTTGGTGATAATCCTGAAGGACTTCTTCCGAAGGACCTGTTTTGCAACTAATTGGGACTCAGCTGGGAATGAACGTAATTCTCATCTGTTACAATAAAATAGTTTTTTGGGGGACTAATTGTGTCTTGTAATGACTCAGTAAGCCTAGGTCACAATACCATTTCTGACAGGTGTCAGTCCAATCTCTTTTTAGAATAGAATTAAAAAGCTGGAAGGGACCTTGGAGGTCGTCCCAATTCTGAAATGAGCCTTCAAATCTTCCTTCCTTCCTTCCCTTCCCAGGTTGGTTCTCTTGATTAATTTCCATCTGCTGCTTCTTGTCCTACCTTGTGGTGCTTTGGAAAATAAGTTGATCCCGTTTTTTTGTGGCATCCCCTCAAATATTAGAAAATTGTTATCATGTCACCCCGAGTCCTCCTTTTCATTAAACTAGACATACCCAATTCCAGCAACTGTTCTTTATATGTTTCTTTATATCCTCCAGTCTCCTAATCATCTCTTTGTTGGTTTTTAAAAGCCTCCGGTGATGAAGCTCCCACAACTTCCGAAGGCAACTTATGTTCCATGGGTTGACTGTTCTCACCGTCAGAAATTATTTCTAGGTTGAATCTCTCCGTGATCAGTTTTCCATCCATTGTTCCTTGTCTGGCTTTCGGTTGCTTTGGAAAAAAGGATCACGTGACCCCGGGACACTGCAACCGTCATAAATATGAACCAGTTGCCAAAATACCAGTCCGAATTTTGATCACATGACCTCAAGGCTATTACAACGGTTGTAAGTTTGAAAAACGGTCATAAATCACTTTTTTCAAAGCCGTTGTCACTTTGAACCAGGGGTGAAATGCTCCCGGTTCGGACCGGATCACCCGATCCGGTAGCGATGGCGGCAGGTGTTTCAGAGAATAACCATTTGTCTGAAGTGGTGTAGGGCTTCCTGCCTGGGCAGGGGGTTGGACTAGAAGACCTCCCAGGTCCCTTCCAACTCTGTTATTCTATTCTATTCTATTCTAACCGGTAGCAAAAATCCCTCCCCCCGTGTGAAATGCTCCCGGTTCGGACCAGATCACCCGATCCAGTAGCGATGGCGGCGGGTGGTTCGGAGAACTGGTAGCAAAAATCCCTGCCCCCCCCATGCCCAGCTGAGCCGCGCAATCATCAGAGGCTTTTTTAAAACTTTAAAAGCATTTTTTCTACAACCTGTTCAGCTGAAAAAATGCTTTTAAAAGTAAAAAAAAAAAGCCTCTGATGATCGTGCGGCTCAGCTGGGATCATCAGAGGCTTTTAAAAGCATTTTTTTTTCTACAAGCTCTTCGGCCGAAGAGGTTGTAGAAAAAAAAATGCCTTAAAAAGCCTCTGATGATCCCAGCGGAGTTGCCTGATTGTCGGAGGCTTTTAAAAGCATTTTTTTCTGCAACCTCTTAAGGTTGTAGAAAAAATGCTTTTAAAAGTAAAAAAAAAAAAAAAAAAAAAAGTTGGCCACGCCCACCCAGTCACATTACCCCCCCCACCAAGCCACGCCCACAGAACCGGTAGTAACAAATTTTACATTTCATCACTGCTCCCCCCCGCCCCGTCCATGCCCAGCTGAGTCGCGCAATCATCAGAGGCTTTTTTTTTTTTTACTTTTAAAAGTAAAAAAAAAAAAAAACCCTCTGATGATCCCGCAGCTCAGCTGGGATCATCAGAGGCTTTTAAAAGCATTTTTTCTACAACCTCTATAGTACAGAACCGGTAGTAACAAATTTTACATTTCACCACTGCTTTTCATTAAAGGAACTGTTGTTAAGTCGAGGACTACCTTTAAGTCCCCATGAATTGGTATTGGCTTTATCTGACTCTTTTCCTGATTGTTTTTATTATATATATTTTTTCTTTTTTCCTGAACAGTCGGTGTGCAGCGATTGGTTTGAAATTTCCCAAATTTATCATGACCCACCTAAGGATCAAACCTTCATTTCTTTTGCACACATTCCTCGCCGCGCGCAAAAAATACATGCATTCAACACTTCACCCCACCCAATTCCCATGAGAAATGCCTGCTGTTCAAACCGTTTAAGTTAATTTTCTTTCTTTCGGTAGCACCGAAAGCCCGTAATTTGGAGTTTTCCCCATTCCCACCGCTAAAAATTTCGGACTTCAAAGCTTTGGGGAAAATATGATCGTTAGCAGAATGAGCAATTAAAAAAAAAAGATGTCGGCAGTGACTTAAAAAGTCAGTTTCAATTTTATTCAGTCTTGCTCAATTTCATCCATCGGGAAACACAAATCCACCTGTACAAAAAATTGATATCGGAGAGACAGGACTCCCCATCGCCTCAATTTTAGCAGTTTAATAAACATCACTGATGTCCAGTATTGGTACTTCTTATGGTCTCTCAACCCGGACTAAATTTTAAGATATTACCCGGATCACAATTTGCTTTTTACAGAGAAAATCTGGGATATTCAACCTTAGCAATTTTAAGACCCGTGGGCTTCAACTTGAAGTCCACGGGTCTTAAAGTTGCTAAGGTTGGACACCCCAGAGCAAATATTTCACACCCCAAGTTATTTCAGACTGTTTGTTTGCATTCAAACACAAATTCCCTTTAGATCCTCCCCCATCAGACCCCTAAAAAGGGTACCCAAATACAAGGAAGATGTAAGAAAAACACACGAAGGTGTTTAAAAAAACCATCCTACCAATTTTGGGGTCTTTGCTCAGGAATCCTTCCTCAGTTTTGGGGAGAGGGATTATCAGTTACCCACTAACATTTGCAAAGCAAGCTTTTGCAAAGCCAAGAGTGAAGTCCAGATAAAAAGCTGGCCATCAAGGCGAATATACACCGGTGTGTTTATTTTACCCCACCCGGAAAAGGGTTTGTCCAGAAGTCTTTCAAGAAGAGATAAAAAAGCTTGAACGTTTTCCAAATTCTGTCCTGGTCTTTGGCTTATGTTGGTGGCGAGGCAGGCATTTCCAAGTGTCAAATATGTGTTGTGTTGTGTTGTGTTGTGCGGTGCAGTAGCATTGGGCATCGTAAAAAAAAAATCCAAAACGGTTTAAAAATGAACAAAAAAGAAGAACAAAAGGAAAAAACCAAAATCTCCCAGTTTTCCCTCTTCGTTGGACAAGTTCAAAAGGAAAGTAGAAACGCATCGGAGAGCGAGAGGCGCCGGATTAAAGGCAGATTACGTGTTCATTGCCGAAATCAAACCAATTCAAAATCGCCCCGTTCACACAGGGACCCGATAGTTGCAGTGGTTACACTCCGACTCGCTTAGCGGCAGGGGGATGCTGGGTTTACGCCCAAGGTCCTGTTCGGCACACGGTGACTGGGGCCTCTCTTTGAAGAAATCGGAGATGTAGCGGACCTGGGGAAAAAGGGGGCTCGGATGAGAAGATGCCAAAGACGGACAGTTTGATTTAGTGGTTAACGCACCAAAGCTAGAAACTGGGCGATTGTGAGTTCTTGTTCTGCCTTAGTCATGAAAGCCAACTGGGTGACTTTGGGCCAATCACCAGGAGACAGTGAGTTCTAGTTCTGCCTTAGGCATGAAAGCCATCTGGGTGACTTTGGGCTAATCACCAGGAGAAAGAGAGTTCTAGTTCTGTCTTAGGCATGAAAGCCAACTGGGATGACAGTGGGCCAATCACCAGGAGAAAGAGAGTTCTAGTTCTGCTTTAGGCATGAAAGTCACCTGGGTGACGGTGGGCCGATCACCAGGAGACAGTGAATTCTAGTTCTACCTTAGGCATGAAAGCCAACTGGATGACTTTGGGCCCATCACCAGGAGAAAGTGAGCTTTAGTTCTACTTTAGGCATGAAAGCCAACTGGGTGACTTTGGGCCAATCACCAAGAGAAAGTGAGTTCTAGTTCTGTCTTAGGCATGAAAGCCAACTGGGTGACTTGGGGCCGATCACCAGGAGACAGTGAGTTCTAGTTCTGCTTTAGGCATGAAAGCCAACTGGGTGACTTGGGGCCGATCACCAGGAGACAGTGAGTTCTAGTTCTGCCTCAGGCATGAAAGCCATGTGGGTGATGGTGGGCCAATCAGTCCATTGCTTACCGTAAGGATAGCAATGAGTGCTCCCTGCAGGAGGCCAACCAGCACATCGCTCCAATGGTGCTTGTAGTCCGACACCCGGCTGTAGCCCACGTAGATGGCGAAGCAGAGGAGAAAGAACTGGATAGTCGGGCGCAGCAGCCGAGCCCATCTGCCAACCAGCCGGGCCTGAATGTAGAGCTAGAATCAACCAGAAAGGAGGGGGGCTTTAGAGACGGCCGCCAGAGGTCTATGGCTTTGGAAGGGAAGGTCTTCCTTGGTCCCTAAGGCTGAACCTGATGCCCAAATTGAATTCCACCCCTGCTTCCAATCCTAAATGAGCTGGGTTTGCCTGACGAGGCCACGGGAAATAAGGAGGGAGGGAGGAAGGTAGGAAATGGGAGGGAGGGAGAGAGAAGCAAGGGAGGGTGGAAGGAAGGAGGGAGGGAGGAAGGTAGGAAATGGGAGGGAGGGAGGGAGAGAGAAGCAAGGAGGAGGGAAGGAGGGAAGAAGGAAATAGGAGGGAGGGAGAGAGAAGTGAGGGAGGGAGGAAAGGAGGAGGGAGGGATGGACAAATGGAAGAAAGAAGGAGGGAGAGTGGGAGGGCGAGAGGGAGGGAGGAAGGAAATGAGAGGGAGGGAGAGAAAAGCAAGGGAGGGTAGAAGGAAATAGGAGGGAGGGAGAGAGAAGTGAGGGAGGATGGAGGGAGGGAGGAAAGGAGGAGGGAGGGAGGGACAAAGGGAAGAAAGAAGAAGGGAGAGTGGGAGGGAGAGAGCGAATGAGGAAGGAAATGAGAGGGAGGGAGAGAGAAGCGAGAGAGGGTGGAAGGAGGGAGGTAGGGAGGAAAGGAGGGAGGGACAAAGGAAGGAGGGAAGGAGGAAAGAAGAAAGGAGGGAGAGGAAAGAAGGAAGGAGGGAAGGAGGGAGGGAGGAAAGAAGGAAGCAAATAAACAAAGCACACAAATGGTAAATAAACAAGGGATGCATGCAAATCAATCAATCAATCAAGGAAGCAAATCAATAAAGTTCACAACTAAATACACAGGGCATGAAAATAAACATAGGGAGTCTCCAAAAAATAAATAAGGCAAGGAAAAATCAATATAGTACAGAAATAAATTGATAAAGGAAGTGTGCAAACACACAAACAAGGGAGCAAGTAAATAAAGCGTGCAAATAAATTAATAAACAAATAATAATAAATAAAGGATGCGAATAAATAAAGGAAGCACGCAAATAGATAGAAATGAATAAATGAAGGGAACAAATAAAGTTAGCAAATAAATAAAGGAAGCAAATAAATAAATAAAGGGAAGGTGCCAATAAATAACCATGCAACATTTCTCTCCCCCCCCACCTCCCCCAATTGAGAGATCCTCAAAGAAACCTCCCTCCTCCCAGCCAGTGTTGAAATCCAATTTTTTTTTACTACGGTTCTGTGGGCGTGGCTTGGTGGGTGTGGTGTGGTGTGGCTTGGTGGGCGTGGCAGGGGAAAGGTACTGCAAAATCCGCATTCCCTCCCCACTCCTGGGGGAAGGATGTTGCAAAATCCCCATTCCCACCACACTCCTGGGGAAAGGATACTGCAAAATCCCCATTTCCTCCCCACTCCTGGGGGAAGGATGTTGCAAAATCCCCATTCCCACCACACTCCTGGGGAAAGGATACTGCAAAATCCCCATTCCCTCCCCACTCTTGGGGGAAGGATACTGCAAAATCCCCATTCCCACCACACTCCAGGGGAAAGGATACTGCAAAATCCACATTCCCTCTCCACTCCTGGGGGAAGGATGTTGCAAAATCCCCATTCCCACCACACTCCTGGGGAAAGGAAACTGCGAAATCCCCATTCCCTCCCCACTCTTGGGGGAAGGATACTGCAAAATCCCCATTCCCACCACACTCCAGGGGAAAGGATACTGCAAAATCCACATTCCCTCTCCACTCCTGGGGGAAGGATGTTGCAAAATCTCCATTCCCACCACACTCCTGGGGGAAGGATGTTGCAAAATCCCCATTCCCACCCCACTCCTGGGGGAAGGATACTGCAAAATCCCCATTCCCTCCCCACTCCCGGGGGAAGGATATTGCAAAATCTCCATTCCCACCCCACTCCTGGGGGAAGGATGTTGCAAAATCCCCATTCCCACCACACTCCTGGGGAAAGGATACTGCAAAATCCCCATTTCCTCCCCACTCCTGGGGGAAGGATGTTGTAAAATCCCCATTCCCACCACACTCCTGGGGAAAGGATACTGCAAAATCCCCATTCCCTCCCCACTCTTGGGGGAAGGATACTGCAAAATCCCCATTCCCACCACACTCCTGGGGAAAGGATACTGCAAAATCCCCATTCCCTCCCCACTCCTGGGGGAAGGATGTTGCAAAATCCCCATTCCCTCCCCACTCCTGGGGGAAGGATACTGCAAAATCCCCATTCCCTCCCCACTCCTGGGGGAAGGATACTGCAAAATCCCCATTCCCTCCCCACTCCCGGGGGAAGGATATTGCAAAATCTCCATTCCCTCCCCACTCCCGGGGGAAGGATATTGCAAAATCCCCATTCCCTCCCCACTCTTGGGGGAAGGATACTGCAAAATCCCCATTCCCACCACACTCCTGGGGAAAGGATACTGCAAAATCCCCATTCCCTCCCCACTCCTGGGGGAAGGATGTTGCAAAATCCCCATTCCCACCCCACTCCTGGGGGAAGGATACTGCAAAATCCCCATTCCCTCCCCACTCCCGGGGGAAGGATATTGCAAAATCTCCATTCCCACCCCACTCCTGGGGGAAGGATGTTGCAAAATCCCCATTCCCACCACACTCCTGGGGAAAGGATACTGCAAAATCCCCATTTCCTCCCCACTCCTGGGGGAAGGATGTTGTAAAATCCCCATTCCCACCACACTCCTGGGGAAAGGATACTGCAAAATCCCCATTCCCTCCCCACTCTTGGGGGAAGGATACTGCAAAATCCCCATTCCCACCACACTCCTGGGGAAAGGATACTGCAAAATCCCCATTCCCTCCCCACTCCTGGGGGAAGGATGTTGCAAAATCCCCATTCCCTCCCCACTCCTGGGGGAAGGATACTGCAAAATCCCCATTCCCTCCCCACTCCTGGGGGAAGGATGTTGCAAAATCTCCATTCCCACCACACTCCTCGGGGAAGAATACTGCAAAATCCCCATTCCCTCCCCACTCCTGGGGGAAGGATGTTGCAAAATCCCCATTCTCTCCCCACTCCTGGGGGAAGGATGTTGCAAAATCCCCATTCCCTCCCCACTCCTGGGGGAAGGATGTTGCAAAATTCCCATTCCCACCACACTCCTCGGGGAAGAATACTGCAAAATCCCCATTCCCTCCCCACTCCTGGGGGAAGGATGTTGCAAAATCCCCATTCCCTCCCACTCCTGGGGGAAGGATACTGCAAAATCCCCATTCCCTCCCCACTCCCGGGGGAAGGATATTGCAAAATCTCCATTCCCACCCCACTCTGGGACCAGCCAGAGGTGGCGTTTGCCGGTTCTCTGAACTACTCAAAATTTCCGCTACCAGTTCTCCAGAACCTGCTGGATTTCAGCCCTGCTCCCAGCCTTCCCAGCGACCAAGGCAACTGCTTAGAGGTTCTGTATGTGCCCTCTCAGTTCTTTTTTTGTAAATGAGTAGGAAATCCGATCAGATGTCCCGTGTGTGTGTGTGTGTGTGTGTGTGTGTGTGTGTGTGTGTGTGTATTTTACAATTCAGAATTGAGGTAGAGAAGGCCTTGAGGTAGGGAAAGCAGAACATCTGCTACCTCGTTTTTTTTAATTTTATTCATTTTTTAAAAAAAGAACCAGGAACTTTGGAAGTCAATTGTACCCTTTTTTTTTCTGATTTGTGGGGGAATGTTGGCCACATCCTGCAAAACTTTGTTAGAGCTCTCGAATCCAATGCTTCTGAAGCGTAACCACTTGAAGATGGGTGGACTTCAACTCCCAGAATTCCCCAGCCAGTCAAGCTGGCTGGGGAATTCTGGGAGTTGAAGTCCACCCATCTTCAAGTGGTTACGCTTCAGAAGCATTGGATGCCCGCTGGGGAATTCTGGGAGTTGAAGTCCACCCATCTTCAAGTGGCTAAGGTTGAGAAACATTTGCTCACAATCCCTTCTTCCCCGATCCTTTGAAATGCAAACGAACCTGCGTCTTCGGGTCCCAAAAATGGCATCCATCCAGCTTCGCCCCTCCCCTCTTCCAGAAAACCATTTGAACCCCTCGATCTGCTCACTCACTCACCGCTAAAAACATCATGCAGTACATCGCAAAGGAGGAATGCCCAGAATAGAACGACAATCTAGAAAGAGAAGAACAAAAAAAGAAATATATAGATAAAAGGTAAATATAAAGGTTCCCCTCGCACATATGTGCTAGTCGTTCCCGACTCTAGGGGGCAGTGCTCATCTCCGTTTCAAAGCCGAAGAGCCAGCGCTGTCCGAAGATGTCTCCGTGGTCATGTGGCTGGCATGAGTCAACGCCAAAGGCGCAGGGAACGCTGTGACTTTCCCACCAAAGGGGGTCCCTATTTTTCTACTTGCATTTTTTTACGTGCTTTCGAACTGCTAGGTTGGCAGAAGCTGGGACAAGTCACGGGAGCTCACCCCGTTACGCGGCACTAGGGATTCGAACCGTTGAACTGCAGATCAGACAAGCTGATCAGACAAGCTCAGACCCTTTCGATCGACAAGCTCACTAAGCCCCAAATTTCTGTTGCTACGTGAAACATCGGCTAAGCGAATTTTGCCCCATCTTAACGACCTTTCTGGCCACAGCCGTTAAGTGAATCACTGCCCATCTTTAGGTTAGTAACACGGTTGTTAAGCGAATCTGGCTTCTCCATTGACTTTGTTTGTCGGAAGGTCGCAAAAAAGGGGATCACATGACCCTGAGACACTGCAACCGTCGTAAGTACGAGTCAATTCGTCTGAATTTTGATCGTGTGACCATAGGGGAAATGCTGTAACGGTCGTTAAGTGTGGAAAGCAGTCACAAATCACTTTTTTCAATGCCGTTGTAACTTTGAAGAGTCACTCAATGAATTGTTGTAAGTCAAGATCAAAGGAGGTACTAATACCACTCTATAAAGCCTTAGTAAGACCACACTTAGAGTACTGCATCCAGTTTTGGCCTCCACACTATTAAAAAGTTGTTGAGACTCTAGAAAAAGTGCAAAGAGCAACTGAGATGATGATGAGGCTAAAACATATATGATGAACAGTTGCAGGAACCGGGCATGGCTAGTCTAGTGAAGAGAAGGACCAGGGGAGACATGATAACAGTCTTCCAATATTTGAGGGGCTGCCACAGAGAGGAAGGGGGTCAAGCTATTTTCCAAAGCACCTGAAGGCCAGAGAAGGAATAATGGATGGAAACTGAACAAGGAGAGATTTTAACCTGGAAATAAGGAGGAATTTCCTGACAGTGAGAACAATCAACCCATGGAACAGAAGTTGCCTTCAGAAGTTGTGGGAACTTCATCACTGGAAGCTTTCAAGAAGAGACTGGACTGCCATCTGTCAGAAATGGTATAAGGTCTCCTGCTTGGGCGGGGGGTTGGACTAGATGACCTACAAGGTCCCTTCCAGCTTCCAACTCTGTTAATCTGTATTCATTAAATATGATGAATCATTATCAATTAATTTTTGACTGTTTCCTGTTAATGGTTACCACCATCTATTTATAACTGCATTGATTTTAGAGTTGCCAGGAAATTCAGTTCATATTTACGTTCCTCTATTCCTGAAATAAAATAGGTGTTTTTTTTCCTTTTACGTATTTTGCCCTCTTGGGTGATGTTATATTTGAAATCTCCTTTTCGCACGTAGCTTTGGATGCGGATCAAATTTCTCCTGCAACGTTTGTGGCCTTTGCAAAAACAATAGAGGCAGTCCTCGACTTACGACCACAATTGAGCCCAAAGTTTGTGTCGCTAAGCGAAACATTTGCGAAGTGAGTTTTGGCCCATTTTACGACCTCTCTTCCCACGGTTGTTAAGTGAATCACTGCTGTTCTTAAGTTAGTAACAGGGTTGATAAGTGAATTCCCCATTGACTTTGCTTGTCAGAAGGTTGCAAAAGGGAATCACTGCAACTGTCATAAATGTGAGTCAGCTGTCAAGCAGCTAAATTCTGGGGATGTTGCAATGGTTGTAAGTGTGAAAAATGGTCATAAGTCACTTTTTTCAGTGCCACTGTAACTGAACAGCCACTAAATGAATTTTTGTAGTGGGTAACAACTTCTTCACATCAATGACCTGTTTGGACAGAAACAATATTGTGTGTGTAGCCATTGAGTGAGTAAATCCTCACAATTTTATAGACATTAATTAAGGGGGCAGTTTGATGCAGTGATTAAGGCAGCAGGATAGAAACTGGAGGACCATGAGTTCAAGTTCTGCCTTAGGCACAAAGCCAATTGGGTGACCTTGGCCGGCCACTTTCCCTCAGCCCTAGGAACGACGCAATGGCAAACCACTTGCCAAGAAAACAGCAGGGACATGTTCAGGCAGTCATTGGAGTCACAATTGATTCAAAAGACTCCAGAAAAAAAAGTTTAATAGCCAATGATGGAAACAGATAGTCCTCCTTTAGTGGCTGCCTCTTTTAGCGACCGTTCCGTTGCCACAGGGATGAAAAAATAACTTTACAAAAATCCTTGTATTCACAACCTTGGTGTAAAGCAAAGCTAAAATAAGAGTGTAAACACAGTCACAGTTTATTTTATTTATTTTAGAAAATTTATATTGCCGCCTACTCGCACACTAAGCTTCGCTTAATGACCAAATTCCAGGTCCAATTGTGACCACTAAACGAGGACCAGCTGTGTTATCTGTTTTCCTGAAAGAAAAATTCCAGGGAATATATTCGAGGACCCTCTGCATCACTGACAGCGTTGAACTTACCTGGATTCCGTGATGTTTCTGGAGTTGCCCTGGCACACGTCTTCCACATGGACGTAAAGCGAGCAATTCACTTTCGTCCAGTCTGGCTGACAGACAGCCAGGAAATTGGGCCGCAGACGGCCGATCGTGTACTTGGCCAAGTCAGTTAGCGACTGGCTGACGGCGCTACCGAACAAGAACGTCCCAACAACTTTGTAGAGGGCGGCCAGGTAATTGTTAAACTGGGAACGGGAGTACAAGCGTTCCGTGTAGACCAGGTAAGCCTCGCCGACTGAAATCTGAGGAGAAAAAAAAAAAAAATGAAAGGGGAGATTCCCCTGGGACATCCATGATGCCCTCCCTCCTCACTCTCCAAACCCCAAATCTGATGGGTCGAACTTGTGAAGATGCCATTAGCTTTTTTTTTTTTGAATTTTTTATTTTTATTTTTAAACAAAACATAAAAACATCCATCACACAAGTAGTGTATCTGTAGGTTACAAATCTTTTGTGCTTCATCTCATATTCATCATTTACTAATTCTCTAATTTCACATATTATCAATCTAACATATATCTTTATATCATTATTTTCATTTCTCATTCCTTTAACAATGGCATTTTCATCCCATTAAAATCATTTCCATATATTGTATTATAACATCCATTTCATAGTTCATTTCCATGTTTTATTATTTAGCCATTGATAAAATAAATCCCATATCTTATAATATTGTTTGTCTTCCTGTTCTCTAATTTCAAATGTCAGTTTGCTCATTTCAGCACATTCCATAATTTTCCTAATAACTTCATCTTGTTTAGGTATTTCCTTATTTTTCCAATTTTTAGCAAACACAATTCTAGCCATTGTCAATACATTGACAATCAGGTTAGAATAGAATCTATTCTATTCATTCTATATTCTATTCTATTTTATTCATTCTATATTCTGTTTTATTCTATTATTCTATTCTATTCTATTCTATTCTATTCTATTCTATTCTATTCTATTCTATTCTATTCTATTCTATTCTATTCTATTCCATTCCATTCCATTCCATTCCATTCCTCAAATGCAAAAAGGACCAATTGTGCTACAGGCAGTCCTTGGCTTACAACCATTCATTTAGGGACCATCCGAAGTCACAACAGCCCTGGAAAAAGCGACTTATGTCCGTTTTTCACACTTACGACCATTATAGCATTCCTATGGTCACGGGATCAAAATTCAGATGCTTGGTAACTGACTCATACTTATGACTGTTGCAGTATCCCGGGTGATCACGTGATCCCCTTTTGCGACCTTCTGTCAAACAATTTCAATGGGGAAGTCAGATTCACTTAACAGCCAGGTTACTCACTTACCAACTACAGTGATTCATTTAATGACCGTGGCAAGAAAATAGCAACAGCAATAGAACTTAAGACTTATATACCACCTCACGGTGCTTTTGCAGCCCCTTTCTACACGGTTTACAGAGTCAGCCTAATGCCCCCAACAATCTGGAAAAGTTATAAAATGGGGCAAAATTCACTTTATGAATGTCTCACTTAGCAACAGAAACTTTGGGCTCAGTTGTGGTCGTTTAAGTCGAGGTCTACCTGCACTTGGAAAATGAAATGGCGGATTCCACCCTTAAATTTTTCAGTTGGAGAACAAACTCTCTTACCCTGTTCAGCCACATCGAGTCGGAAACTTTAATTAAGTTTCTCATCAAGAAAAAGAGGGTGAAATTTAGAACGGCTGAAAAAAAAAACCCCCAAGCTTTTAAAATTATCTGCCAGTTCTTTGTTCACATCTCCAAACAATAGTAAAGTTCAGACGCTGCCATTAAATTGAAATGTTTAAGCTTCCTTTTGACACCATACAAACAATTAAACATACTGCTCCATCTCTTTTACTAACGTTATATTGAGCAATTATTGTATAACCTCAGGAATTACCTGCTCATTCTTACTTAATATCTCTTTTTTTGAGACTACACCTTTGATTTTAATCGGATAAAAGGATTATTACAAGACCAAACAAAGACTGAGGACTATTGATGTATTTTTTCAAAAAGAGGGAAATGAAAACCAATATTTATCTATCCCTGTATAGGCTCTATTATGCTAAATAACACAACATAAATAAATAAATAACATTTTAACTCTTTAATTAAAAAAGAAACTGGCTGCGGGTTATTTCTCCCTATACCAATTAACTGCACTTTTTAACCAATAAAACAATCTGCTTAATATAGTAAGATACTGGGAAGGACTGGGTGAAGTGGGGGGGGGGGAGAAGATTGTACCCCAAAATAGCGGGTTTTGGTTAAGGAAAGAAACATATCCGCCCCTCACCTGATCTCTCAGAAGGTGGGCCAAGTAAAAACTACCCTGTTTCCCCAAAAATAAGACCCAATGGGAAAATAAGTCCTAGCATGATTTTTACTCCCAAAATAAGCCCCAGTTAAGATTGTCAGCCAGATGGATGCATTTAGTACTGTATTTTCCCCAAAAAGAAGTCCTAACCAGAAAATAAGCCCTAATGCATCTTTTGGAGCAAAAATTAATATAAGACCCGGTCTTATTTTCGGGGAAACACGGTAGACATACATTTGAAAGAAAAATTGGGAAAGAAAAAGAAATTATTTCCAAATACGTTAAACAGACTTTCAGTGTTATTTGATAAAAAGAATTCTTGGCCCAATATTTCACAAACATTCTGTTGCTAAGTGAGACAGTTGTTAAGTGAGTTTTGTCCCATTCTATGACCTTACTTGCCACAGTTGTTCACTGCAATTGTTAAGTGAGTAACACGGTTGTTAAATGAATCTGATTTCCCCATTGACTTTGTTCACCAGACGGTCACAAAATGGGATCACATGACCCCGGAACATCGCAACCATCGTAAATATGAGTCAGTTGCTGAGCGTCTGAATTTTGATCACCTGAGCATGAACATGCTGAAATGGTCATAAGCGTGAAAAACGGTCATAACTTATTTCTTCCAGTGCTGTTGTAACTTTGAGCAATCACTAAATAAACTGTTGTAAGTCACGGACTATCTCTATTACGGCATCCTTTGATTGACAGAAAATATTAGCTTTTCCAAAACAAACCTCCCATTTCCATTCTTTGGCACGTGTAACATGACAATTTCTCTTCTTCGTTTCTTTATTATTAATCTGTTTGTTATCCTCCTAGTGTGTAGGTAGTTTTCAACTTACAACCGTAATTGGAACAGAACTTTCGCTGCTAAGTGAGGAGGTTAAGTGAGTCACACCCAGTTTATGACGTTTTTACCATGGTTGTTAAGTGAATCACTGCAACTGTTGAGTGAATCACAGGGTCATTAAGCGAATCCAGCTTCCTCTATCGACTTGGCTTGTCGAAAGCTGGCTGGGAAGGTCACAAATGGAGAACATGTGTCCCTGGGATGCTACAACTGTCATAAATAGATACTGGTTGTCAAGCATCCAAATTTTGATCCCATGAACATGGGGACACTGCAACTCCTCCCCCCTTCCTCTCGTACCCCGTGGGTGGCTGTGGCTGAGCTGGGAGTGCGCACGCCCGGAGAGACCCTCCTTAAGCGAGCCACTGCCTGCCCCGAGAGCACCTTTCCTGAGCTTTGGCACTCACTTGAGGAGGGTCTCCCCGCCCATGCGCAGCTCCCGACTCAGCCACAGCCGGCTGGGGCATCCTGAGAGGAGGAGGGGGAAGAGGGTCGCCGGAGAATGCAGGAGGGAAGCTGCCCTGTACCTGCCTTGCACATAAGGCAGCCTTCGCTTCCTGCCACTTCAGTCTGGAGTCTCTCTGTATGTACGAACGCTCCCGGCTCAGCCACAGCTGGCCAGGGAGTTACAAGAGGAAGGGGGAGGAGGAGGAGGATGGTCGCCTGAAGGGAGGGGGGAGACACACACACATACACAGAGAGAGAGAGAGACATACAGAGTGATACACAGAGAGGGAGTGAGAGAGGGGAAGAGAGGGAGAGACAGTGTTCAGCCCCAGCTATGCACCCCAAAGAACGCAGCACACACCAACTCTATACAAAGCTTATTTTACTCAAATAACTTAAGTCTTTATCATTCAAAGGCTGTTAATGAACTGTCTTAACAGCCTACCAGAATTCTAAGATAAGGTAATCACAGTCTTACTAGAGTTGGCAGAAAGCCCAGAAGCAATTTTGCAGACACGAAGGAGAGTGAACTGAAGTTGTTCTCTACAGCTTGTTGCAAGTGGCGTTCCTTCTTAAATAGGCTAAGGGAGTGGCCAATTAGCCCCAAGTCTTACTCTCGAGACCTCCTCCTGGGGAGCCACTCCTGCCTTTTGGCAGCTCTGCGCGCCCGTGCATCGAGAAGAGGCTCCTCCTCTTCATCCTCTTCACTTAAAGGAGCTTCTGGAGGTTCTGAAGGCCCTGGCTGAATCCCTGCCTCTGGCACCACATCTTCTCCAGCCTCCTCACTGTCCGACTCGAGCGCCAGCTGCACAGGCTGCTGACGCAGCACCACACCAGCCTCCTCGTTGTCGGAATCAGCTACAATCCGCACAGGCCGCTGACGGGCCACAACACAGAGGGGGGAGAGAGGGGGAGAGAGACATAGAGAATAGTTTTGTGGCTGGGTAGGCGTGGCTAGGTGGGAGTGAGTGACATCGAGTTGGCCACGCCCACCCAGGTTTTGTGGCTCCTGGTGTGTTTTTTTTTTTTTCTGTAGGAAACGGGTCCAAGTGGCTCTTTGAGTGTTTACCGACCCCTGATTTAGACAAAACTCAACAGTAGGATAGCCTTTATTGTCATTGTACATCATGTATACAACGAAATTGGTGAAACAGCGCTTTTTCGTGCGGCTGTTGATAAAAATAGGATCGCCAGCCGTGATCGTCAACGTCCGATAATGGATATGGCACAAGAAGAAGAGGAGAAAAAAACAAACAAACAAACATCGGTCTTACTATAAAAACGGTGCAGGGAATAGTCACCCCAGCCATCACCCCATGTGTAATGGTGTCCGGCTTGTACGGATAACGGATGGAAGTGTCCTCACAGTAGAAACCTCGTTTGTAGGGAGAATTCACCAAGGTCAGGATGGCGAAAGGAAGTGAGGCTGCAAGAGAAGAAGAAAAAAAAAAAAAAGACACAAGATTCAATAGGTCTCCTTGCCAACTCTGCCGTCACATCCATCCCTGCTCAGGCAAGCTACATAAATCAATGTATTCTCCGCAACAGCTGTTTTTTGTTACCTGGACACAGGTTGTTTATGCACCAAAGAAACTGTCCTTCACACTTCCTGGCAGAGTTTAACCTTTCCATCTGCAAAACAACCCATTAAAATCTCTATGGAGATTCTCAGTCATCCAGATCATGGTTTTTCCAGAAGGTGATTTTTTTTTCCCCCTCAAGATTTTTTTTCCCCCTCAAGAGGCAATTGGACTTTCTGGTTTTTCTTTGAAGATGTTTCGCTTCTCCTCCAAGAAGCTTCTTCAGTTCTGATTGGATGGTGGGGAATGGAAGGATTTATACTCCTTGCAGACAGCTGGGCATTTGCATTCTTTGATGTTGGATAACCCTGTGTCTGAAGTGGTGTAGGGTTTCCTGACTAAGCGAGGGGGTTGGACTAGAAGACCTCCAAGGTCCCTTCCAACTCTGTTATTCTATTCTATTCTATTTTAGAGGGCCGAGTCATTAAAACACATGAGTAGTCCCCAAAACCTCTTTTATTGCAACAGCTGTGAATTACGTTCATTCACAGCTGAGTCCCAATTAGTTGCAAAAAGTCCTTCGGGATAATCACCAACCTTTATCTCCCTTGACAAGCTGTCAAAGACCTACTTGGCAAAGCCACACGGATTCCAGAATCAAAGAGATGCCGACTGGGAACAGAATTAACAATGTTGCTTTCCTGCAAAGGGCCCACGTGTTTTTGCTCCTCTTTTAAGCCTTATGGGAGGAGCCAATCATCTCCAGGCCTTACTCCTGAGTTGTCCTTTTTGCTTTAGCTGCTCTTGCCTTCTGGCAGCTCTGTACATACGTGCACTAGGACCAGGTCCTCCTGTTCCTCTGCCTTTCTGCTGTCCGACTCTGGGGGCTACGGAGTCTGCGCATCACTCCCAGATGGCCCTGGCCCCATCTCTGCCTCCGACGCAGAGCCCTTGTCCGGGCCTTCCCCAGACTCCAGGACTGGCCCATGTTCCTCCCCAGCCTCCTCACTGTCCGACTCCGCTACCAGCTCCGCAGGCTGCTGGCGGACCACAACAAGAAGTTCTATGAAGGCTCCATACCCATTTGCACCACTCAGGTGACCCTGAGGACACAGATGACCCGTTAGGTGACCCTAACGACCCGCTTATTTATTTTATTTAGCGTATGGTTGGTCACACACAGTATTAAAACACTTCATTTTTACAGGTTAAAAACAATAAAAACAATAAAAAAGCAGTAAGAAAACCTAAAAGGAAAACAGAAATAACATTTCAAAGTTTAATGTCGAGTTTGGATATCCAGTCAGTAGCTGCCGTTGTTATGCAGAGGAAGTCCCTAGAACGACCCACTAAAAGAATGCAAATGACCAGCTGTCTGCAAGGAGTATAAATCCTTCCATTCCCCACCATCCAGTCAGAACTGAAGACTTTTCATGGATGAGAAGCGAAATGTCTTAAAAAAACAATCACCAGAAAGTCCAGTTGCCCCTTGAAAAAAAAACACTTTTGGGACAACCCGTTAAAATATTTTCGTCTTCTGGTTTAGGAGCGAGAGAAACTCTTCTGTGGAATTGAACCAGCTAAATCTGTTCTTGCAAAGAGAGGAAAAAAACATGTTTTTTTGCACACAAGGCTGTATAGGTAGTCTTGAAAGTAATATAAATATGGTCAAATATATAACATTCACAGTTTGTCTAGTTTCCCACCAGCAATGGGTTTCATATTATGTTACTACCGGTTCGCCGTGAGCATCTGCTTTCTGCGTATTCTCCCGGCCTTCCGTGCGTGGGCTTCACTCACGCACCTTCCACGCATACACCCAGGCTCAAAAACGTGGCTAAATAGGATCGCGTAGAGCCAGGGTAGGTGGGCGGGCCCACCCGCGATTTCCGCTACCGGTTCAGGTGAACTGGTCCAAACCGGCTGAATACTGCCTCTGTTTCCCACCCACTCACTAATATAGGTCATCCTCGACTTGAACTGAAAATTTCTGTTGCTGAGCGAGACATTTGTTAAAGTGAGTTTTGACCCATTTTACAATCTTCCTTGCCACAGTTGTTAAGTGAATCACTGCCATTGTTAAGTTAGTTGCACGGTTGTTAAATAAATCTGGCTTCCCACATTGACTTTGCTGGTCAGAAAGTTGCAAAAGGGATCACATGATCCCGGGATACTGCGACCGTCATAAATACGGACCAGTTAGTATTTGAATTTTGATCATATAACCATGGAATACTGCAATGGTCGTAAGTGTGAAAAATGAACATAAGTGACTTTTTTTCAGGGCCACTGTAACTTTGGGCAGCCACTAAACAAACAGTTGTTGTTGTTTTTTTAAGTTTTTTATTTTTTAGACAAACAAACATTTAATACATCAGTTTCCTCTTCCCTGTGACATCTCGGTGTTATCTTCCAAAGTTTCTTTCTTCTTCTTCTGATAGTTGTCATTACTTCTATCTGGATCCTTATCCAGTCCACAATACCAATTCATCACTAACATAATATTCAACTCATCACATATTTTTCCATACTTATATAATTAATCATTTATATCTCTTCTCCAACCAATAATAAAAATCATTCCATACTTTAAAATATTCTGAGACTTCTCTATCTTTAATCATCAGAGTTAATCTATTCATTTCTGCACAGTCTAAGATTTTTTTTTTTATTACTTCTTCTAAACAAACAGTTGTAAGCGGAGGATTATAATTTGGTAATTAAACCCAGGTAGTCCTCGATTTACAACAGTTCATTTAGTGACCGTTCGAAGTGACTTTGGGCCAGTCACTCTCTCTCGGCCCAACACACCTCACAAGGTTGTTGTTTTGGGGAGAGGAGGAGGAGGAGGAGGAAGATGTGTTTGGATACGTTTGCTACTTTGAGTTATGGTAAAAAAAATAAAGCCAGGATATCAGTAAGAAACAAACATCATATTCCTTTCTTTTCAACCATAACTTACAATATTTTTAATGGTATAACAGAAACCAAACTGATCATATCTTCCACTGAAGTTTTGGGGAAGCTCAAATTCCAGAGAGCAACCTAGAATTATCCAAACAATTTCATCAAATATATTATATTCTCAGCAACAACAAAAAAATCCACATTGGTATAGTTTATGTAAAACTATTTAATTTTTTTCTGCCTAATGTGCCAATAATTCTAGGGACGAATGAGGAGATTTTTTCCATAATGTAACCCTTTTGATTGCCGGCCATGTGCAATTTTTTCCGTTTTTTTCTCTCTCCATCAAATCAAAACCTTTATAATGTCCTTTAAGCCAGAGAATGCTGCAGTTTCCCTTCAGATCGTATAAATCTTTTAAGCCTTTTTTGCTTCCATTCTGCTGTCACATTGACAAAAATTCCTTTTTTTTTTCACCATTGTTGTCGTGTCTTGTGGCTTCTAAACAGAGAAAGACTCTAAACCTCAGCAGACTTACAGCAGTTCGTTTAGAATAGAATAGAATAGAATAGAATAGAATAGAATAGAATAGAATAGAATAGAATAGAATAGAATAACAGAGTTGGAAGGGACCTTGGAGGTCTTCTAGTCCAACCCCCTGCCCAGGCAGGAAACCCTACACCACTTAGTGGCCGTTCAAAGTTACAATGGCACTGAAAAAGGTGACTTATGACCGTTTTTCATACTTATGACTGTTGCAGCATCTCCATGGTCATGTGATCAAAATTCAGATGCTTGGCAACTGACTCGTATTTATGACGGTTGCAGTGTCACATGATCCCCCTTTGCGACCTTCTGACGGGTAAAATCAACGGGGGGAACCAGATTCACTTCACAACCGTGTGACTAACAGAACAACTGCAGTGATTCACTTAACCGCTGTGGCCAAAAAGGTCATACAACGGGACAAAATTTACTGTCTCACTTAGCAACATAAATTCTGGGCTCCATTGGGGTCGTACGTCGAGGACTACCTGTACTATGTACTGATCTTGCTTTTTGCTCTTTATTGCTGTATTTAATGTTTTTAAAAAGTACTTTACGTGTTTTTATATTTATGGTTTTAATTGTAACCCGCCCAGAATCACTTTGCCAAGTGAGATGGCAGCATAGAAATTTAATAAGTCTGATGTACAGGTAATAATCAACCAATCAATCAGAATAGAGTTGGAAGGGACCCTGGAGGTCTTCTAGTCCAACCCCCTGCTTAAGTAGGGTACTCTATGCCATTTCAGGCAAGTGACTGTCCAGTCTCTTCTTAAAAAACCTCCAATGATGAAGCACCCACAACATCTGTTCCACTAGTTATTTGTCCTCACTGTCAGGAAATTTCTCCTTAATTCCCGGTTGCTTCTCTCCTTGATTAGTTTCCATCCGTTGCTTCTTGGCCTGCCCTCAGGTGCCTTAACAATTTTTTTTTTTTAAATTTAGACTTACAATATTTCATTTAGTGACTGTTCTGTGTCATTCAGCACTGAAAAAAAATTATTCATGACCAGTATCCCCATGATCAAAATTTGGATGCTTGGAAACCGGTTCATATTTATGACGGTTTCAGTGTCCTGGGGTTGTGTGATCACTCTTTTGCGACCTTCTCGGTTGGTTTCCAAGAAGCAGAGTTAAGCTAGATTTACTTAACAACTGTGGCAAAAAAAAAAAAAAAAGGTCATAAAACAGGGTGCAACTCTCGTTAAGAACTGTCCTGCTTAGCAACAGAAATGTGGGGCTCAATTGTGGTCATAAGTGGAGGACTACCTATAATTGTACAACAGCTCAAGATAGCAGACCAAAATGTTAAAAAAACAAACAAACACACAAACACAGGAGAAAAAATCCCTTTTCCTGAAAGCTAGGAAAGTCGGGGCCATGCAGACTTTTGCGGGGAAAATTGTGTTCCCAGAAAGCCGAAGTAGGTCACACAATAAATTAATCTTAATAT